CCCCAAAACCCCAAAACCCCAAAACCCCATAGAGCAGAATTGAAAGATATGAGAACTTGATAAATTCTGAAATACAGTTTTGGATTTGTAATAATAATAGATATAGAATTTCATTTATGGAGCAACCCGACGGATTCAACTGGCCACCCCTTAAAACAGACCCAGATATCTTATCTGAGTATATGCACAGTATTGGACTCCCTGAAGATTGGGTTGTGGAACCAGTCATCAGTATAGATGAGGAATAGCTTCCATATATTAATAGACCAGTAGTTGCTTTCATTTTAGCACTTGGTGACTACGAAGAGAAAAAGTAAGCAAGTTCTGAACTTGGTCATGTTGAGACTTCCTTTTTTATGAAGTAAACTGACAGTCTTAATAACACTTGTGGAATCATTGCCTTCATTCACTCAGTTCTTAATAATCTTGATAAATTTTCTCTTACTGAAGGTAGTATTCTTCAAAAATATTACACAGCAACTAAAGATCTCTCTCCTGAGGAAAGAGCAGCTTCTCTTGAAAGTAACATTGATTTGCAAGCTATTCATAAGTAATATGCTAATGCTACTGCTGCTGTTGCTGCTGATGATGATGATGAAAGTGGCTCTGATTCTGATGAAAGCGTGATGCATCACTTTATTACATTTGTGCTCAACAAGAATGGTTAAATAGTTGAATTGGATGATACCAATTCAGGTCCAGTTGTTGTTAAAGATCATTCAGATGACTTTATTTAGGATATGGCCTAAATTATACTTGAGAAAATCGAAAATGGAGATTACAGTGAGGAGAATTTCAAAATTTTCACTCTCAACAAAGATAATATGGAATGAGTTCAAGATAGAGATAAAGCAAAGACAGTTTAAAACAGTTTATCGAATTTAATATTTATGTACTATTGAATTCGATTGATAACTAATTTTAAATCCATTTGAATTTGTGAAACATAACAAAAATATTTTTTATTATATCATTGCAAATTATCCATTATCCTTTATCGTTGGGGTTTTGGGGTTTTGGGGTTTTGGGG